CTTTACTTGTACATGCTATTATAATAACTGTTAAAATAACAGTCCCCATTTTTAACACATTATTTTCATCACAATTTGAACCACTGATTTACAAAACACCTTGAAAAGCACACATTACTTTGAATACCTTTCTGAATGAATAAATGTTGAGAATTATTGTCTCTTACCGCCACTTTACGAACTACTTTCAATCTAAGAAAATAGATGTTTCACTCAACAATTTTAAATACGTATTTTGTTTTTTCGCTATTTTTTCGATGTATTTTGACAATTCCATCGACAGCCCAACCGTCGACCAAGAGAGCCGCGCATCACTGGTAACTGCTGAACTGCTCCTTTGTCGCGCCGCCGTGTCGAGCTTGCGTCATGCAAGGTTGCCATAGTTTCAACAATTTCACATTCAAGACACTCGAAGCAATCAAATTCTTATTAAATTTTAAAAATAAAACTGAAAAACATGAAAGGAAACAAACAAAACACAAATGAATTGATTATTGAGAAGGTCACAAAAAAGAAATTTCTAAAATGTTTATCGTAATTCAGAATTCAATATATCGAAAACAACCCGACGAACATTTTTGTTTTGTTTGTTAACTTTCATGTACCTCTATTTATTTTTAAAATTTAATACGAATTTGATTGCTTCGAATGTCTTGAATTTGAAATTGTTGTAACTACGGCAACGTTGCTTAACATCGTCGTCTGACGCAAGCCCGCCACGACGGCGCGGCGCCTCAACTCAAAGGACGTTAGATTGAAAGTAGTTCGTAAAGTGGCGATAAGAGACAATAATTCTCAGCATTTATTCATTCAGAAAGGTATTCAAAGTAATGTGCGCTTTTCAAGGTGTTTTGTAAATCAGTGGTTCAAATAAAACAGAGAAACATGAAAGAAAACAAACAAAACAAAAATGAATTGATTATTCGTTTGGCTGTTTTCGATCTATTGAATTCTAAATTACGATAAACATTTTAGGAATTTCTTTTTTGTGACCTGATTGTGAATAATATGATGAATCATTTTATTAAATTTATTCCAAAATAAAGTTATTTTGCAGCATAACAAAGATTCTCGTAAACGTCATTAAGATTCTCGTAAGTTTTCATTGGAAGGGTAAGTACTAAAAATAATTAATGTCTTTTTTTTTCTATCATTATTAATAATGAGCACTGATAAAATATTAAATTTAACAATCCTAATTTTTTGAGTAGAAACTTGTCTATGAATTTATAAATGTAGAACCACGGTAGAACTATGTAGTATGTGGATACATAGGAGGTTGCAACACTGCAAGGTTTAGATACACCGTAGGGAAATCTCAGGTGAATGGCACTAAAAAGTTTTTTCAAATTTCCCGGAAAATGTCAAGAAAAAATTTTAAATTTTCAACATTTTTCTTTCGCAAAAAAACCTCATAGGCGTGTTTCTGGGGTTGAACTATACTACCAGTTAAAATATTTGCACTTATTTCTGGGACATCCTGTATAACATCAAAAAAATTCCAAATTTCCTTCTCACTAAAAAAGAACTTTTATTTAAAATTTTAACCAAAACAATCGAAAATTAATCATAAAAAGTTATCTATATTCATCGGCACGTCTCTGAGCTTCGTTTTCTTTCATTTCTTTCGTTTCCAAAAATCTTTCCTCGCTGGAAATTGATAAATTGTCTCGGTATTAATCACGGTCCAAACTTAAAAGTTGATTCTGAAGACCCTTCTGGCCCCCTTTTGCCCCTAGCCAAACCCCTAACTGTGTCGATAGCAGCGCCATTATAATAAATTCACGACCAACGAACGGCGGAAATAATAGGTATCTGTGTCATTGTGTTCGTTCAAATCGGTCCCCAGTGGCGTAGCTGGAACTCGTTAATACAGGGACAGTTATAAATAAATCATAGAGATTAAATCAGCACAACAGTTCATACCAAATAAACTTTTAGTCACGTGATTAAGCTTGACCGGCACAGCGTTGCCCACTTTTACATATTTTCTGTTAATCAGAATATTTTAGGAAATAAAAATAAATTAATTATTAATATGTAAACAGTTATTATTTATATCAACAAAACTTATCTACTTAACAGCACTTAAGGGACATAATAAAGAGGCATTACTACCGCTTTTCCGTTCAAAATATTCTAATAAAGTTGTAATGAGTTTTTTACGGCTATTAAGCTATCTTGTACACTTTGCACTAAAAGAGGTTCTAAAAAGAACAAAGTTCGACTGCAAGGTCTGCTAGTAAACATTTTTAAGCTTAAAGTATCACGACACTATTTATTTAAACCAAAATCTGAAAACTAAATACAAAACTAAAATGTCAAAACAAATGACAATGTCAAGAAATAAATAAATAAATGCGGCAACTTGACATTTTTTACAGCAGAGCTACCAACTGACTCCCCTGCGCGAAATTTAAATTCCAATTAGTCAGCAAGACGCCGAATATGTCCATGGTTGGCAACAATGCATTTAAAAATCGCGCCCTCGTTTACGTAAATAAAAGTTTAATTTATATCAAATATAGGTATATTTTTACCACGGCATATAAATCACACGGCAGGCTAACTCTGCTCAGATTCCATTGTTTTAAATTTCTATAAAATTTGACCTTGACAGCGCCATTATCGTTTCCTACTCAGGGCCGGATTAAAACGTATCAAAAAATTTCTCAGAAAATAAACTATTGTTAGACAGGGTCGTATTAAAAAAATACTGTAATTGACTGAAACTGAATTTTATTTACACAATACTTTTGTCCAAACAAATGATTCGTTAACCGCGCATACTTCTCGAAAAGTAAAAATGAAAAAATCAATTAAATATTTCACTGTAGAGAATAGACAATTAAAATTAAAACACATGCAACTAACAAAAACATGCCAGGAGTTACAAACAAGAATTAAAGAAATACCAATAAAATATTTATTGAACAATATGAAGCTACGTACAAATTATGCCCATCAATGGGCGTAGCAAATTTTATTAATATTCAAATTTCACAAATTAACAAATCCACAATTTTTTTGAGAAACTTCTATTTTTTTTAATGGCAGGAAACAAAGTAGGTACCGCATTGGTAAACATTTTAAATTCAAAATGAACAGAAGACAACTTTTGTGGGCCTTATTTATATCTTCAAAATGTATTGTTAACTTATTTTCGATATACTCATTTTATTTACTTTAATAATTATATTTAAATTAATAATATAATGATTTTTAAATTTAATTTTTAATGTCTAGATACAACATTAAATTTTACTAAATATTTAACATTAAATCTTACTAATATTAAAGATTGTTAAGATTTTTAATTAGGTCTTCCTATTTAGCTGAATGTCCTAATATGTATACTACTGTTTTTTTCACAAAAGGTGGGTTCATACTTCGAGTATTAGCCCTAACCTTAACCTTAACATTAACCCTAAGAAATTTACCTTGAGAACTTAAGGAAAGGCCGTTCATACTTCTACTTGTCTTAAGAAAATAATCAATATTCTCGTAAGCGCTTGCGCTCATATAAAACATATGTTTTGAACTAAGCTAAATTTACAATTATTTTTATTATTTCTAATACTAGAGAAACGAATTTTTACGTTAATACTGTCTAGACCAAAAAATATATGATTTATTAACATTTATAAACCGTCAAATTCAACATGTCAGATATTATTTCGAGAATTCTTAAAACCCCTAGCTTTGAGCATGCGCGATTCAGTTTTGAATTAGCATTAGCCCTAAGAATATAAAATATCCCAACCTGTTAGGACTAAGGCTAATCTTAGGACCGATACAATGAGAGCATGAACGCTAGCGTTCGTTAACGTTGATTCATATTCTTGGGGTTAGGACTAATGCTAGTGTTAGGGCTAAGATCGGAAGCATGAACCCACCATAAAATACGTTAAAATAATTAATCACATATATACATACCTAATAGGATCTCTAGGAAACAGAAAGAGAGAGAAACTTTTATTGATCAACACAAATAAAACTACTAAAACAAATCATATTACATAAGAAACGAAAATAAAACTAGAAAAACCAAATATATCACTCAAGAAAAAATCAAAATAAATTAAGCCGCACGCTACTGACTCGAATCTGCCGTAACTGTATGTTAACGCTGAAAAAACTACGACACTGGTTACTTTCTGCTGATGGAAACGCAAATGGCGGAGTGCGCGAGGATATGCGCGTAGCGTTCCCGCCAAAGCGAGTTAGCCTGCCGATTGATTTATATGCCGTGTTTTTACTATTCAAAATATCCTCACGCCACAACACGGCAACAATGCATTTAAAAATCGCGCCCTCGTTTACGTAAATAAAAGTTTAATTGATATCAAATATAGGTATATTTTTACTATTCAAAATATCCTCACGCCACCACACTGGTCTGATGAAACAAATCTTTAAAGATAGAACACAGAGAGACGGCAAAATATTCGATAAGAGGTCACAATTTAACTGCACAAGACAAAGATGGAGAAGCCATTGAAAATTAGGGAAGGAAATTGTAAGGGGTGTTGTTTAAAATTAGCAAATTCAAGTGGTGCCTTGTAGTTCTTGTATTTTATCCCGGCCTCCACGAAGAAAAAAACAAACGAAACAAAAGAAGGTTTGAAATTTTGATGTGAGAGATGGCTCTGGAAAACTCAAGAAGAAATTATTTTGAAATAGCGCTAAAAATACACTGCCTTTATTATATTAATAGTATTTTTTTTATAAAGCTTGTCCATTATTTTGTTGATCGATGAGACTTTCAATATAATTTATTTCATATCGTATCATAAAACATATATTGACATACTCGATTTCAGTATGGAAAATAAGGTTTTATAGTAATAAGTCCGATATTGTTGGATTATTTTTTTGTCGGATGCAAATAGAAGAAGAATTCTATTTCGCAACGTATATCAATAAAATAGAGATCAATATTACATATAATACTGGAAATATTAACACAAATTATAAAAGAATAATAAAAATGAACTTACCCATTTAATAGCATTTCGCTTCTGTTCTTTACCCAATAGTTGATGGTGTTTGGAAAAGCTTCCACGTAGCACTCCAACTGGACGTCTGTGTTTATAGGGGCACCTAGCAGTTGGTTGGGAACCTTGATCGTAGGAGAGACTGGAACAAAAACAATATTTTTATTGTACATTTTAATATTGTTATCTATACAGGATGTCAAAAAAATAATGTACCAACTTTGGTGGGTTATTCTACAGGTGAAAATAAAACAAAAAGTTCCTATGAACATATGCCCTAAAATGCTTTTTTCCATCGATTTTAGTATTAGTGAAATGATGAAATGTAAAGAATGTAATTTTAAATAAATTAATCTCCTTATTTCGCGGCTCATTCTGTAAACAACCCTGTATGTATGCATATAATAGCTCTAAAAGCCTAAAAGCACAGAATATCTAGCTACGCAGAAAAATACTCGAAATGAAAGAGCTAAAATTGCACAAATAAAATACTAGATGGCGCGACAGTATCATAATCAGAATATAATTGGAAATTATGAACTTATGGTTTTAGATCGACGGCACGTCGACGGCCTTGAAGCTCGCCTAAATATGCACAGTTGCCAGATTCAAAAAGACTTTAATTGGCATCCCATTCTTTTTCTGATGTATAATAGTTTCTTTCTATTCTGCTTTTCATGTCAGACACACTTATGTTAATTATTCGTTTGGCTTTTAAAATAGTTTTAAGTATATTATTACAAAACATATACTCAAAAAATACATTTTTAATATTCACTACCTTACATTGTTCTAAGAAAATACCTGTAATTACCTTTAAACATATACAGGGTGATTGATAGTGATATTTATTAATGCTGGAACGTTAGTAATGAAATATAAGTTTAATAATAATGGAAATAATTTATTAAAATGCAGTAACACACAACAAATCTTTATAAAGAAACGCAAGTATACCAAATTTGGACCCAATCGAAATCCAGGAAATTATATCATAATATTGTACTCCACTCGATATGCTTCAAGGTACCATAATATTGCAATGTCACCGAAGATCCATTGTATACCAAGTTTAAGCCCAATCGATCGCCAGGAAATGGTATCGTAATATGGTACTACATTATGGTACCTCTTGATATGCTTCATGGTACCATAATATTGCAATGTCATCAAAAATACGAAATTATCTGTCAAATATGAGCTCAATCGAACGTCAGGAAGTGGTATCATTATTAGTGGTGGGAACTATCGAATGAATACTATGGAAACATTCGATAGTTGCAATTCATTCAAATAATTCGATAGTTAGTAAGAAAACATTCGTTGAAAACTATTCGAATAAAAATTATCGAATAGATCTGTCATCTGCCTTGAAATATTGTATTCTAGTAATTCGGCAGCAAAAACCATTCATTTATAAAATTCATTCATTTATGAAATTCATTTATTCGTCAGGATCGATTATAATAAAATATTAACTGAATTTTAGTTGTCGCCCGGCGACGTAGGTTTCTTCCCGAGAAACCCGACAGCGGTCGGTGGCAATGCTATGAAAGAAGCCGGCATCTTTGATTTTTTGCGGAGTCAGATATAGATAAGGACACATTATTTTTTTTATTGAGGTGCTAGTATTTACACAGAAAATACATTATGAAGGGCGCTGTTGCCATATTTTGGTATTAGTTGATATTAGCAAAGAATATTATTGTTTGGCTTTAGTTAGTTAGGGATAGTATGTCTATATATTCTGCATTTTTTTTTATTAATATTCTGTTGTTACACAGAAAATACATTATGAAGGGCGCTGTTGCCATATTTTGGTATTAGTTGATATTAGCAAAGAATATTATTGTTTGGCTTTAGTTAGTTAGGGATAGTATGTCTATATATTCTGCATTTTTTTTATTAATATTCTGTTGTTACACTGCAATAATACTTGTTATTTTGGATGTAGGAGAATGATTTTTAATGTTTTTAAGCAAAGACTGGTTTAATAAATAATAATAATAGTAATAATTTTTTATACCTATTAACAACAAAATTTAAAATCATTTAATATAAATATTTTATTTAAGTAGTAGCAAAATATAAACAACAAATTAGATGTCAAAATTATTTATATTAGATCCTATTTAAAAATAATATAGTCTCTAAATTGTTTGTGTGTGGCAACGTTGGTTTATTAAATAATAATAATTACAGAACTAATTTGTTATATTAACAACAAATTTTAAAATCATGAAATATAAACATTTATTAATTTTCTAAGCATGCAGTGTAATGGAACGAAAATATAAATAAAAAATTAGAAATCAAAGTTATTTATATTAGGTGCTTTATATTTCTATTTAAAAATTATATTTACTTTTACTGGCATTTACTTTAAAAAATAAATGAAATATTTCTTCGCAAAAAAACTACATGTAAGAGAATTAGCATAAACAAAATACAAACATCGTTAACTTTTTTTTAAAATTGGCACGTGTAAAACTTTCATTTTAATTTTCTCACCCTATATTTTGAGTTCGATAACCCCCCATTTACTTAACCACATTACTTAAATTTGATTATTAAGTTCAACTAATTCATATTATTAAAACATCTAAAATACAAATATGTATTTTTAAAATTAATTGTAAGTTCATCTCATCTCTCTTAAAAATTGCTACTTCTCAAAATTTCCCATTAAAAAATAGACCATATACCATATAAAATTAAATAATTGAAAGATCGGACCACGGAAAACCACACAAATTTTCGGAAAAAATTTGACCACCTGCACATGCACACAATCGTCAATAAATAAAATTAAAAAATAACTACTATTTTAGTATTTTAACTATTTTAATAAACGCAAAAATAGCACAGTATTTATACGGCGAAGTTATAAAAATTTGGAAGAACTAATAATGCACTGACGCATACAAAAATCAAACGAATACTAAATTTCATTTTCAAAAGCATTCGATAGTCGTGGCTCAACGATAACCATTTAGTCGCACGGCGAGGTTGTCACATATGCTTTAGTATACAAATGAATGAATGATTTTATTCGAATAAAACCATTCGATAGTTGAAATCATTCATTCATTAACCATTCGATAGTCTAATTCATTCGATAGTTCCCATCGCTAATCATTATATGGTACGATAGAAGATTTGCGCAAAGACCTAATTATCACTTAAAAAAATGTATAATTTCTAACTTTCAAGACATCTTGAATTCAAGAAGTCTTGCAAGACTCTTGAAATTTCTTGCATATTAAAGTCTTGTCTTGTCTTGAAATTCAAGACAAGAAATTTTGAAAGTCTTGTTTTGAATTTCTTGCAAGACTTTTTCAAGACTTTTGTGCAACACTAGTCATATGCCTGCTGAAAGTCGATAAATAAATACAGAAAACAGACAACCCTGTATTCTTAATTAAAATATAGCATCACGATATATATGCAACTAGATACTTTGTGTCCTGTTTATTCTGATTTGTTTACTTATACTGGACCGGGCTCCATATATTTACCTAAACCGCCATGATATTTTAATAGCGCATTTAATTGGAACTGCGGATTGCGTAAAATATCAAAGTAAATAAATTGGGCTAATATTTATATTAACATCAAACAGCCCATTTAATTATAAGCGATCGATACAGTGTGCTAGAAAGGAACACGGCACATATTTCAGTGCGATAACTCCGAAATGCAAAACAAGTTTGGAAGCTGAAATTGCATTTAGATTAACATTCCTAAATGAACGGTGGAAAAAAATGGCAAATGCGAGGTTCAAATAGAGGTATTGTTGGAACGAACGGATTAATCAGCAAACTAGCGGATGTCAGTCATGAAATTCATTATGTTGAGAGAATAGTTCCTAATTTTTGCGATAATCTTTTAATGCAGTTATTGAGGATGGTATGTAAATACTGTTCATAGTTTACTGTGTTTTAAAAAATAAAAACTTTTTGTATTTAAAGTATTTCAAAATTTTTAATGGTTTTGCAGATACACGGAGTACTATTTAATATGGTTCTTTCAACGGTAAAATACGAGAGAAAAAATATTGGGTAGCTTTGATAAAAATTTACTGTTGAAAATACCATATGAAATATAAAACTGCGAATATCCGCGAAACCATTAAAAATTTTGAAACACTCTAAATACAAAAAAAGTTCAGTTCTCCATCTATTGGAAAAATAATATACAGGGTTATATACCGACTTAAAAAAACGAAGAAAAATTATTTTATATTTTAGAAAGTTTGGCGTAGAATTTTGAATATCCTGTATGATTTACAATTACCATATTTATAGCAAAGTACGTACAGACCATCTAAAGTAAATATCTAATATAGTTTTGATTTTAGGACAGTTATTGTATTATTAATGATTTTTTAAGAAAGCCTGTAAAATATAGTTATATTTATTTATTAATATCTCTGAAACTATCGAAATATATTTACTCATTTCTTAGGATTATGTAAAGTGATCTGAAAGGAAGCCAAAACGCAATAATATACAGGGTGTTCGATATAAAAAAATCATCCCGATCCACTCACACTTTTTTGAGTCACACTGTAGAAGTTAAAATATTTTCCTGAAATACATCCCAGTACATACTTTAGGTTTGCACTTAAACAAAATTTCCAAGGTTTTTATTCTAAGAATTACAGTTACCGAACGCACTATTGCCGGACCCTGTATATTATAAAATTTGGTTATTATAAAAACTCACAGATCTCGCACCATACGCAAGTATCCTACGTATTGAAAATATCTGACACAACATTTAAGTTTTCATTTGTTCCTATGTGATGTGAGTTAATTCTCTCCCAATATAACAAATTAATTAATTACCTACTATACTATCAATCTGTAGTATAGTTTGTGAAACGAATAACTTTGAATTTGACAGTTCCCGCGGCCTTTTCTAGTGTTAATTTTATTAGGTTAGCAACTTGCGGCCATGTTGACGCAATGCCGTCTCTAATAGAACAGCCTCGGAGCGAGATTTATGACGTCATGCTATTAATCCCATTTAGATACTAGGAATTAATAAGTGACAACCTCGCTGTGCGACTAAATGGTTATCGTTGAGCCACGACTATCGAATGCTTTTGACAAGTGAAATTTAGTATTCGTTTGATTT